CTGTTACAAATAGTATTAAAGCCAGACACGGGGTAGTGAGTCAACGAAGACTATGAGGCCTTTAAGCAAAATATGTTGAACACAACTCTTTGTGGGAAACACTCACACTCTTTATTAAGACCAATCGATAATATAATACAAGACACTGTGTAGAATGCTTTTTGGATTTCTTGGATGAATAACCTAGTAGGGTGGAAGTGTATTTATACTAGAGCTTACGCAATCTAGACCTAACAAATCTAAATCTAAATCTAACAAATCTGAATCTTTTTCCTAAAATATATAGATCTTTTCTCCTAAAATCAGATATCTTTTCTAAAATCTCTACTAAAATAAATATACAAAGGGCTCGTACAATTATTGGGTTTAGTGATGATATTTCAACACTCCCACTCAGCACTAGTTCTCATTCGCTGCACCATGTTGAGCTGACCGCTAAAACTCTCATGTTTGCCAATATTCAGCCCTTTTGTAAACAAGTTTGCCACTTGGTCTCTGTCTTGATCTGCTGCATTTCGATTTCTTCCTTCAAGACTTTCTTTCTAATGAAATGGTAGTGTACCTCCACATGCTTTGTTCTAACATAAAACACCGAATTTTCTGTTAGGCGAATCGTAGATTGATTGTTGCAATGAAGTGGTATTGGATAATCAATTTTCTGGTGCCAATCTTCCATCAAAAGTTTGAACCATGTATTTTCCTGAGCTGCTCCAGCTGCTGCTATGTACTCTGCTTCTTTAGTTGACAATGATATTGTTGGTGTCTTTTGTTACACCAAAAAATTATTCTCGAACTAAGCTTGAACACATACCCAGTGATTGATCTTCGGGTATCATGGTCTCCTGCATAGTCGACATCACTATATCCAGCTAGCTTCCAGTCTTCGCTTCTTTTGTATAAATGATCGTAATTGATTGTACCTTTGACATATCTCAAGGTCCATCGAGCCGCATCTAAATGAGGCTTCTTCGAATTTTGCATATATTGATCAATGACTCTAACTTCATTTTTGAATTTCTTCGGTTTGTCCATGTAGAGCTCTCTGTTTAACTCTCCATGCAAGAAAACATTGTTCATATCCATCTGCCATAATTTTCAATCTTTATTTACCGTAAGTACTGGAGGAACTTGTACGATAATGATCTTTGCTACTGGACTAAACGTTTCATCATAGTCTAGTCCATATTCTTGAGAGAATCTTGAATCTATAGTCTGAGCTTTGTATCTCACGATTGATCCATCCGGGGTACACATTATTTCGTAAGCCCACTTGTAAGAGATGAGTTTGGTATCTCTTGTTCTTGACACTAATTCCCAAGTTTGATTTTGTTCCAGGGCTATAGTTTCTTCCTCCATCGCTTTCTGCCAAGCTTAGTTTTGTGATGCTTCTTTATATGTCTCCGGCTCATTAACTTCATCTTCTACAGCGTTGGCATACTCTGAATTTGCCTTTAGGATTATTTCTGAATGTCTGAGTTGTTGAGGTGTCATTTCATTTTCACTAGGCTCGCTTGGTTGAGTCACTTCTTGCTCACCAACATTAGTGTCACTTAAATCTTCAGGCACATCAACACTTAAGAAAATGTGTACAATTTGCTCCCCCGTCTTTTGTGGAAGAATCTCTTCAGTTTGCTCCTTTGTGTTCTGTAAAAGAATTTCTTCTGTTTGCTTCTCTGTGTTCTGTAAAAGAATTTCTTTAGTTAACTCAAGGCCTGATAATTCTTCCTTCTCTGAGGGCCACCCCTCTTCCATTACATCGCTTTGATCGTCAATCATGTGGTTTAAACATCTTGAATCAATGATCCAGTCATCCTCGTAATCGATATGCTCTCCCATCATTGCCATGAGTGCTAGCTCGTCTTCTACTATTGGACATAGTACCTCTGCATCCCATTCATCCTCTATCTTCTTTTTGGATATTGTCAACATTGCTTTCAATCGAATTTTTCCTGGACCAACAATCTCTAGACATGTGACCCTTTCTCCAGCAATTATAGCAAATAACTTCAAATCTCTTTCCTTGGAAACTCTTGTTGTTGTTCTTCTGAGCTCTCTTAGGTTGTGCAGTTCCTTGGTAGCTTCTTCTTTTGTCATCATTATATCCACGTTTGGTAGACAGCCTATTATTGCTCCGACTTTCACTTGTGTAGAGTGCTTCTTCTTCACCCTTCAATGTGATGCCTCCCATTTGTTTAGCCATGGCTTCTTGGTTGGCTAACAAATTTTCGAACTCTACAAGTGATGGTTGAGTGGGCCATCCTTGTACAGCAGTAATGAAGCTTCGATATTCCGGTCGTAATCTGTGGATTATAATCCTCTTCATTCGAGATTCTATAATGGCGGACTTCGGGTCTAGTTCAGTAATCTCCCGACAAATCGACTTGACCTTGTGGAAGTACTGAGCAATCGTCATGTCACGTTGTGAAATTGACAACAACTCATTCTCCAGAAGTTGTAGCCTTGTATCGTTCTTCTTTGAAAACAACATCACGAATGTGTCCCATGCTTCTTTCGGTGTCTTGTCATCCCAAATATGTTCTAACATCTCTTCTCTGATTGTGGTCTTCAAGGCAAACATTACTTTGCCTGCTCTGATTCTCCATTTGCGCAAGGCGCCGTTAGAATCCTCCTCTGGCGGCATAATTTCACACCCGCCAACGATCTCCCAAAGATCTTGTCCTTGTAAATAGGACATCATGCATGTTGCCCACGTGTTGTAGTTGTTGTTGTTGAGTTTCTTGATTCCTCCAACGATTTGGAAATCACCCATGTGTGTTGGCTATACCTCAATAATACCAAACAAGCTCTTTCAACACCAGACTTGTAGAGTCACAGACTACTCATGACACAAAAGAAACTCACTCACTACTAATCTCAAGAAATCGTTTCTGATGTGGAAGATCAGATAGAGCTGCAACCACAGAGCATACTAAGAATTCCAAGAGATTAGATAACATACACTAACTTTGCACTGATACCAATTGTTGAACACAACTCTCTGTGAGAAACACTCGCACTCTTTATTAAGACCAATCGAGAAGAGAATACAAGACAACTGTGTAGAATACTTTTTGGATTTATTGGATGAATAACCTAGGTAGGGTGGAGGTTTATTTACTAGAGCCTATGCAATCTAAATCTAAATCTAACAAAAATCTTTTTCCTAAAATATCTAGATCTCTCCTATCACATATCTTTCCTAAAATCTCTCCTAACAATGCGCTCGTACAATTATTGGGCTTCACAACAAAACATTCTCTTATAAGAGGGTGAAACCTCTCTCTAATAGATGTGTAGACTAAAGTAGACAATATCTGCTAGCTGTGAATTTAGATTATTCCAAATTAGAAATCTTGATTTATTGGAACATGTTTAGAGTTTATTATTTGCATAAAAAGTAGATTTTATAAGTTTAAATTTACGTGCCTATTATCGACTCGGTTCTTGTCTGAGTTGTAAAATAGGTAACCGTTCATTTCTCATTTGATATTAGAAGCTTATTACTTCGGAAATGGAAAGTTTTTATTTATTTATTTATTTATTTATTAATGTTTCCCATATAATTGAGATTTGGCCAGAGAAGCCAGATTGTTGAGATCCAATCTCTTAAAGGAAGCAAATTCCTCCCTCTACGTTACCCTTTTTCACATCTTTAAGAAAGGCTTTGAACGCTGTATAATTGATGTTTTTAGAAGTCAAAAAAACAATAATGGCTATTTTATTTTATTTTATTTATTTTTTTCGGTTAAATGAAAAAATAAATTTTTAAATTTTTGTGAAATTTAAATAAAGTAACAACTTTTTATTTTTTATTTTTGGTAAATGATTTACAAAAAAAACTTAATAATAATAACTAAAATGATTTTTCATATTACCGATTAATTCGGACATAAATTCATTAATTAAAATATTATATTATCTATCAAAAGATCGTATCTTCATTCTAAAAATGAATTAAAAAAAAAAAAAAAATTCAAAATCCATAAGCTTCATATACAATAATACACATTTTTTCATGTAAATATGAGAGAATTTTTATAAATTTCAAGTAAAAAAATGTTCGTATAAATTAAAGGCGTGTTGTTGTGATCGTATGTCGGATGTCCAGATCATGTTGTCTGTGGCCGTTTGCCCGTTTCAAACTTCTTTTACTTGCTTTCATGTTAGATAGACCTTTACAATTATTGTTGTGTGAATACGCTGTATATGACGGGTCACTAAAATCGTACTAAAATGACCTAAAATGTACTCTAGAGATATGTGACTAGTTGTCAATTATTCCTACCTAAGTTATATGCTATCAAAACCGTTGTTGTTATCTACTTGCTTTTAGATTATAACATTAGTGTCTTAAAATTTTTTTCAACGTATTTCTTAGCTCACGTACTAAAACTTTCTTTTAAACGTGACTCGTGGTTCGAGCATATGTCAATATTGTCCATGAAGTGTAAATTTCAACTTGTTCGCTCGCCGAATCGGTATCTCACTGTAGTAAGAATGCAATTGTGACACTCTACATGTAGCTTATTAGTATGACTAAGAAGTTAAATATAGTAATTATTTTCTTTAATGATATTAAATAACAAATTTAATTGTGTTTAGATGAAGGTATTAGACATAAAATAAAAAATAAAAAATTTTATTTGTAATAAAATATGAATTTTTAAAATTTTCGAACTTATTATACATAATAAATTCATGGACAGAATGCTAATAAATATTAATTTTTGTATGAAAAATTAAAGATTATTTTAAAGATTTATTAAAAATATAATAACTAAATTTAAATAATATATAATAAAATTCAAATTACAAAAAGTAGTATAATATTTTAACGCGTCGAAATTTCAAAAGACAAGAACCGATTTTCCCGGGAAAATTACAATTCCTCGACGTGCTTTGCATTCAAAGCCCTTTCTAACATATTTTCGATTCCCAGTGACGCCATTTTATGTATAGTTCTTCCCCTCCTCTGGTAGCCGTTCTTAAACTTGAGGGAATTTGCGAACTCAAATCCGATTTTTGAGCATCAAATTTCGTTGATCAATCCAAAATAGTAACAATGTTGAAAATCGCGATTTGAATTCATGCCGACCACTACTCTTCTCTCCCTCTCCCTGTGACTCTGTTTCTTTCTCTTGGAGGCTCAAAATAGCATTCCGATTTCTTCTCTTTCATCCACTACCATAAACTTCATGGAAAATGATCGAGAATCTCCAGCTTCTTCTTTCAGGTCTTTTTTCTTCTATTTGTTTTCTTTTTTCAGATTTCGTAATGTGAAGATGTGTGAGATTGTTTGATTCTGTATGCTTGCTGATTGTTACTTGCGGAGTTTTGATTGTGCAATGGCTATTATTAGGTTTCTGTTTGCCAAAGTAGTAAGATACGAAAATGTATGAGATTATTTGATTATGTAGCTGATTGTAATGTGCGGAATTTTTTGATTTCGTGATGGATTGTTAAGTATCTGTTTGCGTTTTTCAAAAAAAGATTGGAGGTGATATGATTGTTATCTGCAGATTTCAATAGTAGCGCAATAATTAATTAAGTTTAGAAGTAGGATTCAGTCGACTGATGGTGCTTGAGCTTGACGAATTGTTGTTTTTTGATGTAGTAAGACGCCTGAGCGAACGTTGCAGCGATTGAAGATGTTGTTGCAAGTTTCAACCGCAAAGAAATTGGATCAGCAAAACTCTGCGAATATGGTTGGATGCAATCCGACTGTGCTTCAAACCGGAAGGTTGTTTCCCTCGCTACTTTGATTTCAACATATTTATTTGCATATTTTCCTTTGATTTCTCAATTTATAGCAGTTCCTTCTCTTGGCACGACGATTTTACGAAGCTATTTTTTAAGGCCTTTGTCGGTTTAGTTTGAACTTGAAAGAAAATCGATAGTCAAAACCAAATTGTTGAGAATTGTTGGGAGAGAGTTTCACATTGACTAATTAAAGGGTTGATTATAGGTTTATAGGTAAGAAATACATTTCTATTGATATTAGACCTTTTGGAGAAATCAAAAGAAAGTCACGAGAGCTTATGCTCAAAGTAGACAATATTATATCATTATGGAGATTCGTGATTCTTAACCCAAATAAGAACGGGCTGGTTTTGGTTTGGTTTTGCACGTCCCTAGTATATGTTTGAATTTTTTTTTTCTTTTTTTTTTCCTTTTAGTGTTTAATGTTATAGTTGTGGGATGGGGATTGGAAACTTTGACATAAAGGAAAGGTTCGGCCAATAATGAAGTTTACTGATGGCTTAATTATAGAGCTATAGAGCTATGCTCAAGTTGGGTTTATTTTGTCTGGTTGCTTCTTCCTGACCTGGTTTATACTTTCTGCAATTCTCTAGTGGCCATTTATTCAAATTTCCCATGTCATCAAGTGTTCTATATTTGGTTATTAGAGATTTTTCCTTGGAGCTTTTATGCTGTTTGTGCTGTCAATAAGTTGTTGACGTGGGAATTTGTTGGACAGCAATGATTCAGGCGATATTGCTTGTCAAGATCAATCAAAAGATCAGACAGATCAAGCTGTGGGGACTCCCAATTTAGGGAGAAGAAGACCGCGTGGATTCTCCGACTCTTTTGCTTCTCATGGTATGTAAATCTGTAAGTTCCTGCAAGTATTTCATCATTCATCATGTACTAATAATGTTATGATTCTATGTGTTGGTAGAGTTGAGATTATTAGAATTGGAAGATGAAGCTAAAGACGAGTCATCTCCTAGAGGGGTGCTCGAGGACTGCTTGAGAAGCTTAGATTCTGAAACAACTACTTCCCGGGACAGCACTTCCGATTGGGTAGTTAATCCGGACTCCAGAAATCCAAGTCATTGGAAAGGTTTCTTTCGCTTACTGAAGAAAGGACCTCAAATGCGATTTCAGACCTTTCCTCCTCTAGCTGTTCCAAAAATCGCCAAAAGAAAGAGCAAAAGAATTAGAGAGGATATGCTTCCGGCAGTATCACCAGTGAGGGACTCTTCTATACAGTCCGAGTTTTGCTACTTCAAATCTTCTTGGAAGAATTTCACACTTTCAGAGCTTGAAGCTGCTAGCAATAACTTCAACCCAGGTCTATTGCTCGACACTGAATTAGCCTTGTTGATGTGAAACTTTGATAATGCCGTTCCTTTTTTATGGCCATAGAATATCTAGTTTGTATGCTGATAAAACACCTTCTTTCTTTTTTCAAAAGAAAACTTGATTGGTGAGGGTGGTTATTCTGAAGTTTACAAAGGGCAGCTGGAAGATGGGCAACTTGTCGCGATCAAGCGGCTTAACAGAGGCACCCAAGAAGAGATGACTGCAGATTTCTTGTCTGAGCTTGGAATTATCGTTCATGTTGATCATCCTAATGTTGCGAGCGTAATTGGGTACGGCGTTGAAGGGGGAATGCACCTTATACTTCATTTATCACCCCTTGGAAGCCTGGCATCCATACTTTATGGTTTGTTATTTATAGTCTATCTTTTGCATTTCTAACCGTTTAATTTACTGCTAATTCCGCCGGTATAATCTAGGGCCAAAGGAGAGACTGGATTGGTCAACCAGGTTTAAGATTGCTCTAGGAACTGCTGAAGGCCTCCTGTATCTTCATGAAGGCTGCCAAAGAAGAATAATCCACAGAGACATTAAGGCCTCTAATATTTTACTTAGAGAAGATTTTGAGCCTCAGGTATGCTTTATGCTCTGACAGTTATCCAAGTGCTGTAGCTGGAGATATGCAGGAAAGTTGAAATCAATGCAAACATAAATGCCTTCCATTGGTTTGTATAGTTTGAGCATTGAAATTGATAACATCAAATAAAAATCATTGGTTTGTATAGTTTGTGGAGAGTCGTGATTTCTAGCTTGGTATCAGAGTCATGCCCTTAATTTAGCTATGTCAATAGAATCCTCAAATGTTGAACAAATAAGTTGTGAGTTTCAAAAGTATAGTAAAAAAAGACTAAGTGTCTAACAAATGGTGTACTTTGTTCGAAGACTCCAGAGAAGGAGACGAGCCTCGATTAAAGAGAGGCTATTTGAGAGTGCTCTATAGTGTACTTTGTTTGAAGGGAGGATTGTTAAAGATTGTTGGGAGAGAGTCCCACATTGGCTAATTTAGGGAATGATCATGGGTTTATAGGTAAGGAACATATCTCCATTGGTATGAGGTCTTTTGGGGAAGCCTAAAGGAAAGCCATGAGTTCTTATGCTCAAAGTGGACAATATCATACTAGTGTGGAGAGAATATGTCTCCATTGGTATGAGGTCTTTTGGGGAAGCCTAAAGCAAAGCCATGATATCTTATGCTCAAAGTGAACAATATCATACTAGTGTGGAGAGTCGTGATTCCTAACACTTTCAACATCTTTTAGATATCCGACTTTGGGCTTGCATCATACTAGTGTGGAGAGAATACGTCTCAATTGGTATGAGGTCTTTTGGGGAAGCCCAAACCAAAGTCATGAGATCTTATGCTCAAAGTGGATAATATCATATTAGTGTGGAGAGAATACGTCTCCATTGATATAAGGCCTTTTGGGGAAGCCCAAAGCAAAACTATGAGATTTTATGCCCAAAGTAAACAATATCATACTAGTGTGGAGAGTGGTGATTCCTAACACTTTCAACATCTTTCAGATATCCGACTTTGGGCTTGCTAAGTGGCTACCAGATCAATGGACTCACCATACCGTGTCGAAGTTCGAAGGCACATTCGGGTTCGTCGATCGAAACTTCTTGTGAAGAATTTTTAAAATCTACTCCAACCCTGATCCTCCTCTGATGATTATAGGTACCTTCCTCCTGAGTTCTTTATGCATGGCATTGTTGATGAAAAAACCGATGTCTATGCTTATGGAGTACTTTTATTGGAACTCATTACCGGACGGCAAGCATTGAATAGCTCACAGCAAAGCCTTGTGATGTGGGTATGTCCCCAACTGCAATCTCAGTTTTGCTGATCTTGAGAACAATTTTGTGTATAACGCTTGTCTGTTAAAAACTATTTGCAGGCTAAACCTCTACTTCTTAAAGATAATCTCAAGGATCTTGTTGATCCATGTCTTTTCGACGTATTTGACACCGAACAAATGAAGCTTATGACCTCAGTAGCTTCAATGTGCATAAATCAATCTTCAATTCAACGGCCAGAGATGTGTGAGGTAACTACTTTTATTTTGAGGAAAATATTCTTAGTCACTCTTTGGATTTAGATAATCATGAGTATTAAAATTATCTCCGGTAAAGTAGAAAAGAGTATAACTCAGTTGATTAAGATATATACCTTTGACTATGAAGTTTAAAAGTGTGAAAGTTCATACCACATATTGAACTAAAAGAAAAAAAAAAAATTGAAGCATTCATCCTCTCATTCCTCGAAATTATTTCTATACCTTGCCATTCATTTCTAAACATTAAAATTATGTTCTATCATGTTTTTTTTGTTCAGCATTGATAAATTTTTTTTTTCTTTTTTTTTTTAGAGAAAATGAAGTTTTGGTAGATAACGATTTTATTTTTTAAAATCTCTATTTGATTCCTTGCAACTTTGTTGTATTGGACTTCACCCGTCTTAAATTTGATTTTGTATCTTGTATTCATATATATGCAGATTGTTGAGATCCTGAAAGGGAATGGAGTTGCTTTGGAACTTTTACAACAACAGAAGTCTAGATTTCAGAGGACATACTCTGAGGAACTTTTAGATGCAGAAGAGTATAATTCTACCAAGTATTTAAGTGATATGGATCGACATCTAGAGATTGTTTTAGGAGCCTGTGATATTGATGTTTAGGTTTATTATCACCTCATAAATACTTTGTTTTTTTTTTTTTTTTAAATTCTCCCACGAAATAACTTTTTACAATATTTATGCATTTATACTCGATCATAATATATGATCTCGATGTTTTAATTTTGTGATTTGAAGTTAATTTCTTTTTTTTTGTTGGAGATATTGAATTCATTTGAGAATAATCGTGATAGTCCAAATATTGTTACTGTGTTATTATATTTAAATTTTTCTTTGGAATGATTCTTAGTTTAGAGATTTGGCTATGAATTATTAATTTATGGTTTGAAAGATGGTTATCATTTGGAGAGTATATTGTTGAATTGGAGGTGTGATTCAAACTCTAGAAGTCTGGTTGGTATATACCTAGTGCAAGTTCAACCATGCTTGTTTTGACATTTGTATCTCATTTAAATAAATTGCTATTATTATCACGGACCATCAATTATTAATATATTCTTTTGAGTCATCGAGGAGAAATTTCTTTTATTGGAATGTGACCTCAGTTCGTTCACAATCTACTCTCTTGAAATCCAACATCCTTGTTGACACAACCCATGATGTCTGGTTCTAATACCATTTGTAACCGTCCAAGCCCATTACTATTAGATATGGTCTATTCCAAGCCCATTACTATTAGATATGGTCTATTTCCAATGTCCTCGCGCACCCCCTAAACCTATTTCTAGTAGATATTGTTTGGTTTGACCAGTTATCTATCGTCGCCAATCTCACTATTTTTAAAATAGGTATGTGAGGGAAGAATTTCTACACTCTTACAAGTAATGTTTCATTTCTTCGTTATCTATCATCGTCAACACTGTTTTTTAAAACGTATATGTGATGGAGAAGTTTCTATACCATTACCAAGAATGTTTCGTTCCTTCTCCAATGGACGTGAGATCTTCTATCTACTTCATTTTAGTTTCACAGAAAATTAAGATAAATTCGTTTTTAATTTTTAGAAATGGTTAAAACTTACGAAAGAATTTCTCATCAATAAAATATTAGCCTAAACTCGTTTATAAATCATATTCGAAGGAGAAAAATAAAGAAAAGAAATAGACTGGTTTATCATTTTGACGTGGCAATCTCGCACGTGTAGTTGGCATCAATGTTTTTCTGTTGAGACTCGAGAGGAAGCCGCCCCTTTATAACTCTGGATTTGCAGACTTCGAATAAATTTTCTCCGATCACTCTCTCTCTCTCTCTCTCTCTAATTTAATCCGATCGAGACTATGTCCAAATTTCGCTATCTGTTATTTCTCTTCTTGATTTTGATCTCATCGGTTGTTCGGGAATCAAGTTGTTCGTATGCTGGTTCGGCTACCTCCACCGTAGATCCTAGTAAAGTGAAGCAGATTTCATGGAAGCCGAGGTTCTTAACGCTATCATTTTCAAACGCACGTATCTTCTTTTTGATTTATTTTCCGTTCTATCGTGTTTGTTTGCTGAGAAAGTTATGGAACTCGAAATTGTTTTAGATTTTAACTTCTGGTCGTCTAGGTTAAGTTCAGTGACGGTTCGCTACTGCAATAGCCTTAATTCAGTTTTGGATAGTAATTTATGCTTCGCAAATTTTTGATTAGGCGTTTTGCTGATGTTGTAGAGCTTTTGTATACGAAGGATTTCTCACGGACCTAGAATGCGACCATCTGGTTTCTATAGTAAGTTAAGCTTTAGTGATATTCATCATTATGGAAGTCATGTCGATCTCTGTTGTTGAAGGCTCGTTTTTCTTCTCCGATAGGCGAGATCCGAGCTAAAGAGATCTGAAGTTGCTGATAATGACTCAGGAGATAGCAAGCTCAGTACTGTTCGAACGAGCTCAGGAATGTTCATTTCTAAGAGCAAGGTTAGGTTCGATCTCCATACAAATAATCTTCCAGTTTGTTTTTCTCGATGTTTTCTCTAATTTCTCTTTCGATTTTTGTTTTTGATCGGAAAAAAACTTATGCTACTAGTGGTCATTGAATTTATTTATTGAATTAAACTAAATGGAAGAAACTTTGCTGGTAAGAAACAGAAATATATTGCATTCTCAAAGAGGTTAAACAATCACATAACGATTTGAATGTTCCTGATTGCGTGGCTGCACTAATCAACATTGCGTCTTGTGTGTAAGTTTAGGATGTTAGTTTGAGTTACGACGTCCACTATGTTGACTGTTCATACAAAATTATAGAGCAAACAATTTTTCAGAAATAGTAACTTAAAACCTTCTCTCCTATCTTGTTAAATCAGGACTAGATTGAAGAGTTCTGAGTGGTTATGTTTTAATAAATCTAATATACAGTGTACTTCGTGATCATCCCTCCCTCATGTATCTTAGACTTGTTGTGTATAGTATACCAATAACTATTTCCTTTGGCTCTATTAAGTATAGTTGAAGTATCTTCTTTATTTACATTTTTATTTGATATTTAGGATCCTATTGTTTCTGGCATAGAGGACAAAATTGCTGCATGGACTTTTCTTCCAAAAGGTATACGATTTGTTCATTGTCAAATCACAAATTTTGCCATTGATTTGGTTATGTCAGAGTACTAGTCTTAGGGGTTTCATAAATTGGTTTGGGTTCGGTTAGATTCAGATATTTTTAGATTTAATCTAATTATTTGGAATGTAAATTTTTTCAACTCAAACAATTGAAATCAACCCGTCCATAAATTATTTTGATTGAGTTGGTTGGTGTGGTTCAAAATTTTGTTTTTAATAAAAGTAAAATATTAATATGTAAAACATTTTATTTATTTATTTTCAAATATTGAATTAAGATTTATAACTCAATTTCTACTATTCTAATAAATTAAAATTTTATTGAAGAGTTCTTAATAATAAATAATAATATAAACAATAATGAAATAAAAATTTGAATTGGTTCAATTTAATCCAAACTTATTTTAGAGGAATTCATGAACTAATCTAACCTATAATTTTTCTTTTTTTTGAACCTAACACAATCTAAATACGTTGATAATCCAACTCTACAAGTGAAATAGTTGAATGAATGGTTAAGGTCTTTTTTTTTTGTTGGTTACTGCAAAATGTGGCGTGTATTTCTCATTTTTCAGAGAATGGAGAGGACATTCAGGTATTGAGATATGAGCATGGGCAGAAGTATGAATCACATTATGATTACTTTGTTGACAAGGTGAATATTGCCCGGGGAGGACATCGTTTAGCTACAGTCCTTATGTATCTCTCTAATGTGACCAAAGGCGGTGAAACAGTTTTTCCCTTGGCTGAGGTTAGTTCCAAGTGTTGATTCACAAACTAATTTAACCAAATTATTGGTCAATTGGATTAGGCATGAAGCTCAAGGATTACTGAAACTCTTCCTCACAAATAAGCCAATTTACTAAGAATAATGCTAAAAATGATAAGGATTCTTTGATCCCATGTTAAAAATGAGAAGCTCTATACTATGTTAACAATGATCCATTCCACTTATGTTTCTCATTCTTAACATTGTATTAGAACTTCTCATTCTTAATACAATTTTTAACCAAATCTATAATTGGTATTAAATTTGCAAATAAATTTGGTTCATAAATGACCAAAATCAGATTGTTTAACCTTGTTATATAATCTTTATGTGAGCAGAAATCTCCCCGGCGGAGGGCTTCTGAAACAGACGAGGATCTCTCAGAGTGTGCAAGGCAAGGAATTGCAGGTACGAGTTCCCAAACAAACAAACTATAGAGCTTTTGCTGAAATTAATGTGTTTTTATTTGTGACTTTATATTCTCACCTGGAACGAACGGATGTAGTGAAACCAAAGAAAGGCGATGCCCTTCTTTTCTTTAGTCTTGAACCAAATGCTATCCCAGACACCAATAGTCTCCATGGAGGCTGCCCTGTTCTTGAAGGAGAAAAATGGTCAGCAACAAAGTGGATTCACGTTGACTCTTTCAGCAAAAACTTGGGAAACATTGGGGACTGTACGGATCTAAATGAAAGCTGTGAGAGATGGGCTGCCTTAGGGGAATGCACCAAAAACCCTGAGTATATGGTCGGATCTGCAGAGCTTCCAGGCTACTGTAGGCGGAGTTGCAGGATCTGTTGATACACTCCAAATTTGGATACCTTTGGGCGGTAAAATTCTTGATTCTTGCCTTTGGAAGGATAGTAATTGACTTATTTTAAAATTATTATTGGCTTATTTTAAGGTATTGTTTCTTCTAAAAATAAATACATAGACGTAATTACTTGTTTCGTCACTCATGAACTAATTGTGTAGCTATCTTATGCCTTTTGAACTCTGAAGCACGGATGAATGAAGCAGTAGCCGTCGGGTAATTATAACTCTACTTTTCTTTTTTTCTTAATATGATTGAAAAATATATTTTTTTTGTCGAAAATTAATTGTTTTATTCGTGTGATTATATACTGATCACCTTTAACTCCCCTTAATAAACCGCCATTACCTTTTTATTAATCAAACTAGTTTAATTTTAGTCCTTACTTTTTAATGTTCAAAATTTGATCTTTGATGCTAGTTTCATCGACGTTTTTCACCAACGAAAGGTAACCTTATTGGTCACCTCTATTCTCGTATTGTTTTTTTTTCAGTAAAAACTAAGTTTGATTGAAAGAACAATTTTTAACCTATATATTATATTATAAAAGTTGCACATTATTCCGCCAAAAAAAGCCTAACTTGATAGGTGGTGGTGGTTGTTGGTTCAGCCATTGTTCTTCTCATCTTTTGGCATTATATTTGGCTCATTGTAAATAGTTCTGATGTGATGAATTCAGCAAACTCCAGGAACACAGCAGGATTTTTCAATCCATCTGAAACCAAAGGAAAAAGGAAGAAAACAGGTAAAAATAGGTTTTGACAAAAAAAATTATCCATTTAATATGTAGGAGTGAGACCTGAGTAGGAACTCGCAGTTTTTGGTAATTTATTAGAAAGAAAGAAAGATTCCGTAAGCTACTTAGTAGTGGATAGGTAAAAAGAAAGCACTCCATTACGAATGTTGGGACATGAATAAAGCAATGTCTAAGATAATGAACAAGATGCTCTCACTCAACAAGCACCTCAAAGTGGCCATGGAGATTCTTCCTCCCATCACCCAATAACTCAATCCCCTCTAATGTTAACTGCTTTTCTTCCTTCCTATTCTAAAAGATGGGAGCCTTCTTGGACAAGAAAAATGATATGTAGCATCAAACATTGACTATGATCCATCACGACTAAGCCAAGCTAAAAGGAGTTGAAAATTATTAGTCAAACAAATTATTTATCTTTTAGATTGAGTTAACTCAATTGGTCAAGAAAGCTTTTTTTGACAATATGCCTCTATGAATCTTTGGTACTTTCAACTTAATGATTATATTCCAGATTGGAAACATCTTATGCACCCATTCACATGTTAAGAGTAACTAGTGTTTCCGCAACTCCCTATTCAATGTTGTGCTTGGTTCCTTGATAACTTCTAGTTTGATCAAGAAAACCACAAAAAAAAAAAAAAAAAAAAA